CGACATACGCTAGCCAAAGTGGCTCCTGGGTAGGGGGATAGCAAACCCCGCTGGTCTGCCTCTGCAACCATGGCATTGAGTACCTCCACAACGAGCATAACCAGTAACGAGGAAAGCGGGTCGCCCTGACGTAAGCCCCGTGCATGACAGATCCCCTGGCTGAGGCGGCTGTTGACGAGCACCTTCGTGCTTGCCGACGATAGAATCGTTGCCGTGCAGTCCCGCCAAGACTGTGGGAAACCCATATGCTCCAAGACGTCCAAGAGGAAAGGCCAGGCCACCAAGTCAAATGCTTTGGCAATGTCAACTTTTAGCAAGATGCAGGAGTGGTGCTTAACATGCAGTCAGTGGCAGTAGAGTTGCACAGAGCGGAAGTTGTCGTGGATCCGCCTCCCCTTGATGAACACCATCTGGTTCGGCCGGACCAGCGAGCCCATAAACGGAGCTAGGCGCAGCGCCAGGCCCTTGGACACCAGCTTACCGAAGCTCTGGATCAGGCTAATGGGCCGGTAGTCCCTCAATCCGTTCGGCGCGTCGTTCTTCCTCAATAGAACCATAGACGCGTCATTGAGGAGGTAGAAGCTCCTCTAGTCCTTCTGCCAAAGGCAGTTAAAGGCATTGCAATATCATCCTTGATGACAGCCCATGCAACCCGATAGAATCTGCCAGTGAACCCGTCCAGGCCAGGCGCACGGTCCGGTGGGGACTCCAGGACGATCCTGGTGACCTCACCCTTCGAGAATGGTTCGGCCAGCGCCTGTAAGTCGAGTCTTGGCAGGTTGAGGCGTTCCAGGTCTATTCGATGACTGTGACGAAAACACGTACCCAGAAGGGCGTTGTAATAGTCGAACACCGCCTCAGACTTAGCCTCCTCAGAGGTGAAGGTGTGGCCCTCATGCACCAATGTGGGAATATAGTTCTTCCGCTTTTGATGGCAGGCTTGGAGATGGAAGAATTTGGTGTTCGCGTCCCCATCCTTCAGGTAGCGGTGCCACAACCGCTGTCGTGCGATGGTCCTAGACAGCGATGATAGGCCCAACGTGGTCCTGCGTAGGTCGAGCTCCTCCGGCGAGAGCTGTCTGGTCTCCTGTGCGACGCTGAGTTCGAAAATGATGACCCAAGCCGTAGCCAACTAAAACCGTACACTCCTAATCCACTGTGCGCTCCATGCTTTCAAAGCATTGGCCACATTGCGCAGCTTGTAGTCGATGGTCCTGCAAGCGTCAAGCCCGGGCAGGCAGGTCCAGGCTCTCGTGACCACCTCGGCAAAGCCTTGGACAGATGGCCAGAAGGCCTCATTGTGGAACCAGGGCAACGCCCAAGGCTCCGTGCACAACACGAGTGGCAGCGGCGCTTGGTCGGAGCAATCGGTGGAGCGACAGTGCAAGTGGTGGAATGGGTGACTCTCTAGCCATGGCGCCGTGGTGAATACCCGGTCAATGCGCTCCAGCATCGGCCTGGTCCTTTCATTACTCCATGTGTAGAGGCGGCCGTATAGGTGCAGCTCGGCTAGCTATAACGCATCAATTGTCCGCCAGAAGCGCTGCATGAGACGATAGTTCAATCTAGCATTGTTCTTGTCTTGAGCCTGGTAGATTAGGTTGAAATCACTGTAGATAAGCCATGGCCCAGTGCAGGCTATAGCCAGACCCTCGAGCTCTGAAAGGAATCCCTCCTTGTGGGCGTGATCTGTCGGCCCGTACACAACTGTGAGCTAGCAACCATCATCGCCATTCTGATCCACCGTAGCGAGGCACAACATGACAGAGAATACGCCAAAAGCAACCTGCAAGGTCTGCCATTTGTCCCTGCGCCATCCGACCAGAACACCCCCGGAGACCCCCACCGAAGGCAAACAGGAGTAGTCGAAATCTGGACCTAGCAGTTCATTGATCATGTTTACAGAGAATACATCCACCTTAGTTTCCTAGAGACAGACCACGGAGACACGCTCCAAGACAATGACATCTCTAACAGCAGTGCGACGAGCCCGGCTATTGAGGCCACGGGCGTTCCAAATAAGAAATTGTTCTCCACTCATAAAGAACAATGGCGCGACTAGGGAGACCCCAGGTCTAGACCTCAGAGGCCGACGCTGCGGACCGTCGCCGATGACGCCCCAGGTATAGCTCCCACATGGCCGACCGCTTGGAGGCAGTCAGCGGTTCTCTGAAGGCTTGGCGGAACCTCTTGGAGTATGAGTTATCTGGCACCTCAGGTGATGTTGGGTCCGCCGCAGGCCTCCATTTTCTCAACAACACCCAATTCGCCTGGACCTTCGGCTTCGGGTCCCGGCAGTGTGTGAGGGACGTGAGGCGGACACTCCGCCATGGGACCGTGGGGCTGGCCCGGCGGGAGATGCGGCGGATTAGGCTGGAGTTCGCAAGAGGCTCCAGCAGCGGCAGTCGGAGGGAGCTGATGAAGTCAAGTAGGGTCACGGCGGGCTCTTCCCGCGGCTGACTAGCAATCAGCTGTGACGTGCCGTGTGCGCCAGCGATAGAGCCTGGGGGGGTCGTGCCTAGCTGGCGTCGCCCCCCTAGAGCACAGTATGTCATCGAACGGCAGATTCAAAAGCATCAACGGTGGGTTGGGACCGTGCGCATTGCTAGGCCCGGCAAACTTGAGTGCCATAACGTCCCATCTGTCAGGCCCACCATAGTTAGAAGTAGCCGCATCACCAAATAGTGTTGGGTCCAACTCGCAGATGGACCTCAGGAGCGCCCGATCCCCCCTCATACTTGGGCTTACGTCCATGATGGCCTTCACCGAACGTGGGCCGCTCAGCCAAGAAAGATGAAATGGGCCGAGATTGGGGGAACACAGATCAGATACCCGACATTGAGCCCAGCGTGGGGTTTGCGCCCCCAATTTCGCCTCCAACTCCATGGGGTCCCTGCGCAGCGGGGTGGGCACCGGAGAGCCAACATGGGGCATGGACTCCAACACCCCTTGAGGGACCCATCTGTCTGAAAAGGGTGTCAGGTGACTTTCAGCGTGTACAGGCGTGCGAGCAGGTGCAGGGTCGGAGCCCGACGGGACGTCCGGAATCTTGCAACACACGGCCACCGAACTCGCACCACGTGTGCAGTCCTTGGGCCCAGCACCCATGAGTCCGCTCCCCGGCAATGGACAGGGGATGAAGCCCACAATCAGCGACATGAGCGACTTACGAGCGGGCCCAACGGCCGACGCCAGGACAGGGCCACCGACGTCGAACCCTAGCCACGGCACAGCTTTGTGAACCGATGGCGAACCGGCGCCACAACAACAGTCCATCCCTGGGTGGAAACAGTTTCAATTGCTGTCCCCCGAGCCACCATCATCATCGGCGGGGCTATCACCGTCGCCAGTAGGGGACCTCCATGACCAGTCGTCTAGGTCTGGGTGGTAACGATTGATGTTGCTGTCGAGGGAGCCGCTGCATCATCATCATCAGGCTCCGACCCCTCCATGTCCGGTGACGGCGTCGGGGGGTTCCAGTCTTGGAACGCGATCACTCGAATGCGCATCAGATATCGTAAGCCAGGGAGCTCCTCCAGTGCGCCCTCGACAGGGTTGTGGACGCGTGGCTTTGGGACGAAGATAATTTTCTCATCCGGGATAAACCGAGGGTGCAGGCATCAAGCCGAGACGAAGAACTCACGGTCATCATCGGCTGGCACATCCGCCCGACGGACAACCTTGACATCCGTGCAAGAAGGGCCGAGGATCGTTTGCGCGGTGGAGGCGCTCCGCGCATGGAGGGGGACACGAGTCATGCCGACCAGCATAGTGAATCAGAAGGAGCCCGCACTGGCCATCGAGGTACGCCTCCTGGCCGCTAGACCAGAGGAAGTGGGGCACCCATCATTGGGGCGGCAAGGACACGGTCCCTGTCCTCCTGACATCGGAAGCGAACGACGAAATCCTCCGGGTCGTGGCACCGCGCCGGGAAGACGCAATCCCGCTTGACATGATTGGCAGCAAGACAGTTGAAGCAAAGCCCCTGCAGCTTGACGGGGACCAGCCGCGACTCCCTCAGCGGTGTGCGACGGCGCCACCGACGTCGGCTGCGAACCTCGTAGAACCCGTCCGCATCTGGCACCGCAAGGGCGCGAGCGGGGTGCACAGATAGAGAAGTGCGACGACGCGGCGAGGTAGGCGGAGAGACGTCCATCGAGGTGGCCTGAGGGTGTGCGCGTCTGGCCGTCGCCATGAACCCATCGACCACCCTAGGGCGACGACGCCGACGACGTGCACGCCGACAGCGACCGGAAGCACCCGCAACGGCCTTGCCCCTTCCCGGAGGTGGCGGTGAAGGGGGCTCCGAGTCGGAGTAGCTCTCCGAGTCTATGAATGACACACGTTCCACCTGGAAGGAGGCGGAGGGGCTCGCAATGAGCACGGCCACATCCGAGAGGAGGCCCGGCGCCCCCGCGCCCAGGGATCTCATGGAGGGAAGCTCCTGATCGGCCTCGTCAGCCCAAGAGCGACGGGAGGGGGAACCGTTGTCCATCCCAAACCCTAACTTACAATACCCCATCATCATGTACAACATGACCATCACAATGCCGCTAGTTGTGTTCATGTACAATTTAGCTGCTATATCCCGCTATAGTCCGATTTAGCTCCGCTATTATCTGATTTAGAGGTATATCGCTAAACACCTTAGCCCGCTATTTAAAACTATGACTAGACTCACACCTCAACCAAGAGAACACACAACCAAAAGATAAAAAAAACTATGACTTCGACACATCTCTACTTCCTGACATCCTCTCTTGAAATGGCCTGATGGATACAGACGCCGGAATCCATTATCTAAAAAAAATAGAAAAGATAGTGTCAAATCAATGTTTCAAAGACTGTAGCATTGCCGAAAACATTAGCGGAGTCTCGGAGATATAGTTTGTTTTATTTAGTACATGGAGTTAATTTGGGTCTAATAATTCCCTTCATCTGAATAAACCCTCGCTCATTCGAACACCACACACATTCCTCCAATCTCCTCATGCCTCGGACTACTCGGAGTTGAGCGAGCTGACCCCGAGCGCTTCCACCACGCCCAGCAGGTTCTCGTGCGACGACCCGCCGGCGCCAGCAGCTTCCTCCGCCACCGCCTTCCACCTGGCCGCGCTCCTCCGGACCTCCACGCTCTCCATCACCTCACCGACATGCGCAGCGACCTGCTCCCTCCTCACTTCGGCGTCCAGCCGGCGCCCCACGCCCCACACCTCGCACGCGTACTCGCAGACGGTGAACTGGTCCGCGAACACCGGCCAGCACACCATCGGCACACCGGCGGCGAGGCACTCGCACGTGGAGTTCCACCCGTTGTGCGTCAGGAAGCACCCCACGGCTCGGTGCCGCAGCACCCGCTCCTGCGGGCACCACATTGCCACGCGGCCCCGCGTTGCCGTCTCCGCCTGGAACGCCGGCGGCAGCGCTGCCGCCGACCCGCTGACGACGCCGGCGACGATGTCCTCCCTGATGACCCACAGGAACGGGCGGCCCGTCTCCGCGAGGCCCCACGCGAACTCCGCCAGCTGCGCCGTGGTGACCACCGTGAGGCTGCCGAAGTTGGCGTACACGACGGAGCCCGGCGCCTGCGCGTCCAGCCAGGCCAGGCACTCGGTGTCGTGCTTCCACAGGCTCAGGTCAAGCGAGCCGCCGCCGGCGTCGTCTTCCTCGTCGTGGTGCCGGCGGAGAAGGGAGCCCAGCGGCCCGACGGTGTAGATGCGCGGGTACTCCGCACGGAGGGCGGCGAGGACGTCCGGCTCAAGGGCGTCGAACGTGTTGATGATGAGGGCGCCGGCCTTGGTGCAGTTGTTGGACTCGGTGTCGCCGAACCACAGGCCGAAATCGTCCGGGTCGGTGGTGCGGACGAAGCTCGAGACGTCGCCGAGGCTGATCGGCGGCATGCCGGGGATCCAGTCGATGATCGTCGTCTCTAGGTAGCCGTTCGTTAAGCAGCTGTCATCTGCAAAGATGAGAAAAGAACGAGCAAATCCACACATATACATATATTAACTTTTGGTTCCAGCTGCTGTTCTGAATAATAATTACAATCCATTCACAATTATAAGTTGTCTTAACTCAAAATTTTCTCAATTTTAAGAAATTTAGAGAAAAGAACAATAGCATCTACGACACCAATCGTCAATTTTGAACTAATTTAATGTTATTATATAAAAATAAGTGTAATGCATAACATACCGCAGTTGCAAACTCCAATCTCGTCATACATATAACGTAAAACCAAACTTGATTGTTACTAGTTTATAGGTTGTTGACTATGAAGTACTTAGCTCGTTTGGCTCGCGAGCTGGATTGTGAGACAGCTCGAGCTAGCTCATTAACTTAACGAGGTAAAACGCTAGCTTGGCTCGTCAAGAAAAGAAAACTAACCGAGCCATGTGAGCTAGCAAGTCGCGATCTTTATCGCAGAATTACTATGCGTTGGGCTTCACAGAATTTGAAAACTAGTGCAGCAGGCTGTATATGTATAGTAGTGTGTGCACGCCAGCTAGGACTCATACTTTATGCGAAGCTACTTGCAATGAAAAATGTGAAGTAAACGCAACTGGCTAATATATAACTAATACAATATGAAAACAACTTGATCCACGGAAAAGATATTCTTTTGTCACCGGCACTAGAACGAAGAATATATAGTTATATATCATCTAGCAGTTGCACAAACGACAGATCTGTGGAGTTGGTCGGATATTTGCTGGGTTCTCCTATTATTTCAAAAAATCTCGTTAAAAAAATAAAAAATCAGTCCACGTGAAGGTTTGTTGGCGGTACATTGGTCTTCTTGCGCCCAGATCATGTCCGCCGCCCCGGCAACCCCTCAAGCATGTCCCAGCCAGCCACCCCCAATGGGCCGCAGCAAGCCATAGCCAGGCAGGGCTAAGTCAGCAGCAGCCATATCCTGCCAGGCTGGCCAGTGATGTCTAGGGGCGGGTAGAGGCCTTCAAGCTTGGCTAGGGTACGCCAAGAAGAGGCTAGGGCAAAGAGGAGAGCGGCAAGGATTGGGTTTACCTCTTTCCTAGGGCGATGGGGATGGTGGCTTCTAGGGGCAGCGACAATAAAGATAGGGGTGGCGACTTCTTTCTTGGCTTTTCTTGGTCCAAGAAGGAAGAAATGTGGGGAGAAGTCACATCAACGCGGATTTGATGTTGCTACCCAACAGTGTATCAACCGATTTTCCGAAGTGTGGAAAGATTACAACTGGAGTTGGGATAAGGAGTTATTGGAGAGAGTTTTTTTTCAATCATGCTAGAAAACCAAGATTAGGAGTGGGTTTTGGGAACTATTGGAGATGCTATAAGGAAGGAGATAAATATGGGATTTCCTTTATTTATTTTTGAAATGATTTATTTCTTATTGAAACTAAAAATGTTTCGGGGAACAATATTGTTAGTTACTTGGCTTAATTTGGTATAAGCATTTTTTTTCTTAGTTTGGACATAGTATGCAGTAAAATTTTACTCACTCCGTTCCAAACCGTATGTCGTTTTTTACTTTAATTTTCTAGGTTCATAGCTTTTCGTATATATCTAGAAATTATGTATAACTAGATACATAGCAAAAGCTATGAATAAGTCAAAACGACTTACAATTTGGAATTGAGGGAGTACTTTAGTTAGTATTTTTTATAACTAGTTAGGTTACACTTCACGTCAAGATCTCTAGCACAACAATAGCAAAGTGCATGAACATGAATTTTGTTTTATTTGAAGTTTGAGTTTGAACATATATGGATAAACGAGGCCTGAATCATAAATTTGCCAAACTACGTTTATGCCATTGCGTTAGTTTGTCAAACATTCAAAATGTAAACTAAATTCGTTATATTCCAGCGAAATGTTTCTCACACCTTCTAATTTTCATTTCGAGCCTATTAGATTAGATCATTAGAAGATGTTTAGGCAAAGATTAGACTGCGGTAACATTTATTTATTTGTATATATACAAAGGGGCGTCGAGAGTACCTTTGAGTGGTAGGTAGCCTCTTTCCCTGAGCTCCCGGAGCCTCATGTGGCACATGAGCGCCGCCGCGCTGCTGGTCCAGAGCACCATGCTGGGGACGCCGAGCTCCCGGGCCACCTCCAGGGCGAAGCTCATGAGCGCCGTGGGCAGCACACATGTGACGGGCGGCACGTCGGGCGTTGCGCCGCCGCGGAGCCGCGCGACGAGCTCCCTCAGCGGCGCCGTGCACTGGCCGTGGGTGGTGGCCTTGGACAGGCCGAGATCGTAGTCCTGCTGGTCCCGGTCGGCGTCCACCAGCCCGTCTGGGATGGTCTCGATCCGGAACCCCTCGCGGCCACTCACGGCGCCCTCGGTTGCTGCGGCCTGCTGGGCGCGCCGGAGGTTGTGCTCGGTGGCGACGAAGGTGACGAAGACGCCGTGGTGGCGCAGAGCCTGGGCCAGCTGCAGCGCCGGGTTGATGTTGCCGGAGCCCGGGAAGGGCACCACCACGACGTGCGGCTGCGGCATCGCCGTTCGTGTTGCTGCTATAGCTTGCACGTACGCTTGGTGACTGGCAACTTGGCTTGGCTTCGATCCGTGCTTGCCCTGAGACCGTAGTTAGTCGATCGCTTTTATTAACCATAATCAATTGAAATGGACGGCAAGGCCCCGGCCTGAAAGTCAAGGGACGGCGATAGCGATACTAGTACTAGAAAAAAGAAACAGTTTCCACTAACATGTAACATCGTGTCATTTTTTGCCGGCCGCAGCACGCACAAAATTAACAAATGTAGTCTTCTATTGACTTTCGACTTTAGCAAATGAAGTTTTCTCTTCACTTCCCACTTTCTATATGAGCACCTTGCCCCTCTCAGCATCATCAATAACAAAATAGATTGACAAATGACAAATACATAAATGCAAGGAAACTACCAAAAGCTACTTAGGAAATGGTACGTATCCTAAGAGAGGAAGAGGGCTTGGTGCCATAAACCTCAAAAGGCACAATGAAGCTCTAATGCTAAATAGCATGCACAAATTCTTCAACAAGTTGAATATTTCTTCGACAAATCTCATTACGCTAGAGCGAACAATTACTGTCGGGTCAGAACCCCCTATTACTGTCAGATTTGGATCTGGCAATGGGCAATGGATAGTGATAAGTGGTATAAAAAATCAGAACTCGAGTCCTCAACGTCCACGTTACCTCGAGCGGCCATACCAATTGTGCTACGTGATAAATGTGACTATACAGCTGATGCCATTCTTTTAACTATACAATTTTGAATCTTATTATATATTTAACACTCCAACAAGCGGGCGCTAGACCAGTTGGCTAGCTGCTACCGCGTTGCACCCTCGCGGCCGGAGTTCGATCCCCCACGGGGGCGAATTTGTCGCCTGGAGGCGAAAAAAATCCCCTCGTCTGCCTCATGCCAAAGCACAGGTATAAGGCCGGCCCAGTCTCACGGGAGCTACGGTGCCAGTGTGTATGGATGGGATAGGGGTTCAGAGGTTTTCTCAATCTACATGAGAAGATCTTCTTAGGCACAATGCCAGTGGCTGTCTTACCCCGTAGATCGAGTCTTTTTAAAACTCCAAACGATTTCAAATGAAAAAGTTGTTAACTGTAAAGTTGTAGATCTCGTCGAGTACTACAACTTTGATGCTGACTTTGTCTCCATTCGATATTATTAATCATCTCAAATATGACCCAATAACTTATATTAAATATTTGAACTTGTAAACTATCTCAAATTAAAAGGTCAACTATAAAGTTTTAGATCTTTTTAAACTCTACAACTTTGATATAAAGCTTATCTTGATCTGGTCTCATATAAAAAATTGATAATTTCTTTTTGTGCAAAACAGCCTATGACGGTTCAAGACACGGCCCGACAGTGATAGGTCGACCGGCAGTGATAGTGTACATCATTTGAAGCCACGAATCAACAGTGACAGTCCACCCGTCACGGTTTTAATGTAAAATCAAATTTAAAAGACTTCAAAACAAGCTCGAAAATCCTTAATTTGTGGCTGGCTATAGAATAATGTCTGTACTAATTTACGATAAAGTGAATACACATTTACATACATGTTTCTATAATTCATGATACTATTTATCATAATGTTGTTGTAAATCACTTAGCAGGGAGTTACAGTAATATCATAAATTAGTATAGTAATTTGTTTTTTGAGAATCATTAATATAGTAATTATTGTAACTCAAAGTGGCCATAGAATAAATTATTAGAGAGAGAGATGAGTTGGGCTGCTACGTACCTGCTGGGCCACATGGGCACTAGGAGGTTGTTAGGCTGGTTGTATTTGCACTATTTATTTTTTTGGTCGATCCATCGGGTCAGCCCGTGGGCTAAAGTTCAGGCCCACGTCTGACTTAAGATTCACGCCGGGTCAAAAAGTACAGCCCGAGCCTGCCCAGTGAGCTAACTGGGTCCGACTGGGTCACGTTTTTTTTTCGAGTGGGTTGGATCAGGTTTTTCGGGTCAGACAGCCTTTGATCAGGTCCAGGCGCACAATAGCTGCTTTGATGTAACGACTCGGTACGGACAAACATGTATCCACTGAGAAGTGAGAAGCTTGGCTTACTATGCTTGTCCTCCTTGCTTGTCCTCATTTTATCTCGTGGAACTGATGATTAATGATTCATCAGCCTGCATAATATTTGCTCCCCACACTTGAAAAACTATAACAAAGTCCATTTTTTCTATGGAAAGTTCAGTTGTGATATCGATGGGCATTCCACCTTGGTAACAACACAATGGACCATATATTTTGAATTTTGATGAATTAATTATACCACCACTGATGCACTATTCAGTATCCAAGTAATAATTGAGACCAGAGCAATGCATTGAGAGAAGTTGTTCACTATTACTTAAGAATACATGCAAAATACAATGCCATTTTCGAGTAACATATTTCTATTTCCCTGTAGAACCTGAGAACAACCGGTAGGACCATATAATGTCGTTCTGCACGTGATGATGAAGACATCATATTTATTTTAGCTGCTGACCATATTTTGGGTAATATCACCACGTCCTACACAAACAAGACTGTGGTTATATTGTTTTAAAAGCACACAATATATAGCTCATATATAATTACTTAGTATACGGTTGTACCACCACTTGACAATCTTCATTCGGTATTGGCTTCACGAATAGTAGCTCTATCATTTCTTTGAGTGCTTCTGAAGAAGTGAATCCATCATGATCATTCTTGTACATATTATCTATGGTTCTTGCGAAGTCAAACACTGTTCGTGGCATGACCTTTGGTAGTTCTGTCAGTGCAAGGCATTGTTCTAACATGTCCTTCCATTTATCTTCAGCAAGTTCTTTTATCTTTTCGCATGCATCATTCATTGTTGTTCCATGCTCCTCCATGTAACAATGGACAGTGGAGGCACTGTGGTCTTTTGTTTAATTGTTCACGCTGTGAAACATTTTGTAAGAAAGAATAATGTCAGGTGTGTTATAATATAACAACTAGTTTAATCATCCTAATATTGTGATTCTTTATTAAAATAAATCTATATCCAGCTTCACTGTAAATGTAAAATTATCATGAATGTTACGAATAGGATCATCTACCCAATTCATTAGATAAATGGATACTGAGAAGAATTCAATTTACAGTTTTTGCATGAAGCTATACTCGTTTAAGAATAGAGGAATACCATGGTTGATACGACATCATTTGAGAGGCGTACATATATACCAAAAGACATTAGAAATTGAGGAAAGCTCAAAAGCCACTCGAGTGTCTCCTTTGTTATTATGTCACCCATTCCAACAAATGCAACACATGTAATAGGGACGCATGCAATGCTTTCCATTGAAAAACTTGAAGGTGTTCACTCATTGTTTCTGGCACATAGTCTTCATCACGCCATTTTATTTCATTGTAGTACTGCTGAACCAAACGCTCCATCTATATGAAATGTATGGAAATGTGTGAAAATTATTTCTGATTCTAATATTATTTCTGCTAGATAAAATAGGCTGCTTGAAATTAAAATAATTGAATTGAAATAATAATGATAGGTTGCCTAAGTTCCATTGTTCAGTAAAAACTTTATTGATTTTCATGTTTATGGGCAATACAGTTCCCAAGAAAATTTTTACTAGAAAATAAAGGCATTTCATACATAGTTAACAGCACATGTATCCATCTATGGATTTTGCTTCACTTATGACTGCAGTGACCAAGTTTGTTTGCTGGCCGGCTAATGCATGTGCTGCTTTTAATGGTCATACGAACTAGAATAGCTTACAGCAGGGTTCTTTATAATTCTTAGATAAGGATAGTCAAACCTAGGCTCGGAGTTCATTATCTATTATTAAAATTCTTTGTACAATAGGCTTATGTTTTTTTTTCATGTCAGTAACATAACTCAATTTGATAGAGCAAAGTATTTCTAGCTGATTGATGCGTTGACTGTGCATGTTCCTTGGCAATGCTCAAGTATAAGACACTCATAAGAGGGTTGTTAGAAAGTTCTAAGCTCTAGGTGTAGATCTAGCGGGTAAAACAAACATCTGTTGGTGTACCTTGGTAGCTAGTGCGCCCGTAGCAACCGGAGCTAAAGTGCAGTCTAAGTCCCTACAGCGACGCGAGGTACAGCGTCCCGATGGTGACACTGCAGAGGCGACGGCGGAGTCGGTGGGGCTTCCCGTCGCTGGCATCACCCTTCTTTAGATCGGATTAGTGTTTCTCTGTAGGTGGTTACGGCGGCTCCGGTCAACCTCGTTGTTCGAGCCCTGATCCCCACCTCTCCTTTTATAGTGCTGTGCGACAGGGGCCCACCAACCATATTAGGGTTGGGCGCCCCCGATCAGGGCGCAGATCCAAGGGCCCAATAGGCCGCGTTGGGCCTATTGATGGAGATCAACTAACATTCCCCCCTTGATTTCACTACCATCTTTCAATTTCATATCATTTACTTTTGTTCATTCCATTACAGATTAGCGCATAGAGCATGTTTCATCGTCACGGTTAATTGCCGATAGATTTAACAACTACAACACACCACTCTGTTCTGAAATAGATACTTAACTTTAGGCCTTCTTTTGTCCAGGAATTTTTGGCTTTCCCTTAAACCCATGCTAGCTACATGTTCTCTGAACACGTTGGGTGGTAAGCCTTTTATAAGCGGATCCGCGAGCATCTTTTCGGTACTTATATGCTCAAGACTTATGACATGATCCCAAATTTTATCTTTCACAACATAATACTTTATGTCAATGTGTTTGGCAACACCACTTGACTTATTGTTGTGAGCATACTGTACTGCCGGATTATTATCGTAGTATAACTTAAGTGGTCTATAGATGTCGTCGACCACCTTCAAACCGGGTATGAACTTCTTTACCAGTTCACCTGCCCCATTGCCTCATAACACGCTACAAACTCGACATACATTGTGGACGATGTAGTGACGGTTTGCTTTGAGCTTTTCCATGAAATAGCTCCCCCTGTGAGAGTGAATACATATCCAGACGTGGATTTTCTATCATCTTCCGCATAATCAGAATCTGAATATCCCACTATATGGAGTGAATCAGATCTTCTATACGTCATTATGAGGCCTTTCGTTCCTTGCAAATAACGTAAGACTTTCTTTACTAATTTCTAGTGTTCTGTTCCAAGATTGCTCTTGAATCTGCTAAGTAACCCGATAACAAATACCAAGTCAGGACGCGTACATACTTGAGCATATTGCAAGCTTCCTACAGCTGAAGCATATGAAACCGTTTTCATTTGATCGATCTCATACTGGCTCCTGGGGCATTGAAAATCTCCATATCTATCGCCCTTGACTATAGGAGCAGGTGAGGGACTATATTTGTGCATATTGAATTTCTTTAAAATCTTTTCTATGTGTGCCTTTTGTGACAGTCCTAATACCCCTTTACTTCTATCTCGGTGAATCTCGATCCCTAGAACGAACGAAGCTTCACCAAGATCTTTCATATCAAATTTTGAGGACAAAAACTTCTTTGTCTTCAGTAGTAGACTGACATCACTACTAGCAAGTAAGATATCATCCACATACAGGACAAGGAAGATAAACTTCCCATTCTTAAACTTTGCATAGACACAATTATCCTCAACATTCTCTTTAAACCCAAAATTCCTTATTGTCTGATCAAACTTCAAGTACCACTGTCTTAAAGCTTGTTTTAATCCATAAATGGATTTCTTTAGACGTCATCCTATTCGTTCTTTTTCTTTCATGACAAAACCTTTCGGTTGTGCCATGTAAACATTTTCCTCCAAGTCTCCGTTGAGAAATGTCGTCTTTACATCCATCTAATGTAATTCTAAATCGTAATATGCCACTAATGCCATTATGATTCTGAAGGAATCCTTACATGAGACTAAAAAATGTCTCATTGTAATCAATCCCTTCTCTTTGCGTAAATCCTTTTGCCACAAGTCATGCTTTATATCTCTCTATATTCCCTTGAGAGTCAAGTTTTGTTTTGTAGACCCATTTACAGCCTATTGTTTTGGCTCATTTAGAAATTATTTCCAAGTCCCAAACTTTATTGGCATTCATAGAATTTCATTTCATCTTCTATGGCCTCAAGCCACTTTGATGAATGATCACTTCTCATGGCTTCTGTGGCAGAACCGTCTAATCTAATGCCTCCCAGAAGTGCTTGTCTTCCATTAGACACTAAGCACCCAAAGGAGAACACTAAATTACTCGGTTTCATCGGGCACACCCTAGGGGAGAACCCGAAAATCCATATTTTTGTCATCAGGATCACAAATGAGAGAATAAAGCTTACATCATTCTTAACTATTTCTTACATCACTTTTAATACAACATCAGAGTATAACATTTATTATTTAACAGCGGAATGTAAACATGTGATCAGGATTACAGCGGAAATTAATATTTATTCATGACATGTTGAAGTATTGATATATAAAAACTATGACAACAGATTATAAACTTTTATTTATAAAAACATTGGGTGAGAGTTATAAATAACAACTATGGTCGCAGCGTAAGGGAATCCTCGCTGAGCCCACCAGGAGGAATCCACACACAAGGGTCAGCTCTAGCCTCCACCTGTCACCTGCAATAGGGGGAATAAAACCCTGAGTACTCAATTGTACTCAGCAAGACTTACCCGACAGGAGAAAAGAAAAGACTCCAAGGACATGCAAGGCTATCTGGCTTGTGGGTTTATTGCATCAGTAGGAAGCATTACTAAATGTGCGTCCTTATATTCGATTTTTATTAATAGCCGCATTGGTTCATTAACTAACTATTCTATGTAAGCACCTGTACTACTTTCAAGCAGGTGGTGAGTAATCAGAGTTCCTCTTTCCTTTCCCTCTTTCATCTTTCAGTTCTTACTACGATGCTAGACCGCAGACGAGCCGTACCAAATTTCCCGGTGATTCGCGAATCAATGCCCCTATCTAGGTACCCCAAAAACACATGCCCCGCTTGTACCTTAGACACAAGCAGGACCAACCCATCACTCTCCTATCCCGGGTGTCTAGGTCCCTGTCCAAACTGGGATTCCAAGCCCCCGCCCCTGAGTCCTGGACTCAGTGTGGTGTAAGGACCTCCTCCATCAAAATAAAACCCTGACAGTCGGTCCGAAAAGAGCCGGATCCATGACAAGAGAGGAACAAGTCTTCCAAGCGCCCATACCCAAGTATGTGCTCGGGATAATAAGTCTGTGACTGGCCTAGAGCCTTATGCAACGACCGGTCCTTAATCGACACGGACAGGGAAAAAGTGTAACCAAGTCATGCCCTGTTGGCCGCAGGACACGACCTCTTACACCCACCAATACCCAAACCATATCCCTGCCCAATCACCATTTTTCCTTTCCACCATTTATATTTTCCAAGTGATAGTAATATATTCTCTATCTCTCGCGAGTGACAGGCAATCACTCGACTTCTACCGGAGTCCTGTAGCATAGCATTCTACACGATCCTGCCATACTAGTAAGACTCATAGGATAAAGATATATATACAAATGGGTTTCATTCAACTCCGTAAAACTTAATGCACAAATATAATTTAAACTGCAGAAAAGTAGGACTTATGCACCGGGACTTGCCTGGGTAAAATATAACCAAAAGTTAGTATCTGCATCTTCAGATCATTCACCATCAACTGAATAGAAAGCCCATTGCATCATCTCCTGGAGAGAAGACCATTACACCACCTTCGGATTCTCAATCATCCTTCAATTGATTCGTTGATCCATCATTGTACCTATATGATATGCATGCGATGCAATGCAAAGATGTAATTAATCAACTGCAATCATGACTCGTAAAATACGACGTACGCCTCTCAAGTTAACGACTATTTCTGACGACG